ACCCATTATTTGCACAAGTGAACATGTACTTGTACTTTCTTTTTTTTATGCTTCTTTGCAATATCATCTGGCTAGTACACTCGTATTCAAAGTCGAAATCTAGAATTGCATATTCATTTAAAACAAGGGTGCAACCGTCCTTGATAAGCCATCTCAACAGTTTAATTTCAGGTCAAGATTCTAATCGAATAAATAAATGTAAATTAAATATATTAAGTATGAAAATAAATTTATTACGATGAATAAGCTTTACTAACTGCAGTATTCATATCTTGATAAGATTTTGTATTACAAAATGTTAATAACTTAGTGTCGAAAGATCATTTACAAAGTGTAACATTAACGAATAGAAGGGTAAATTATGTTAGAGTTTTTCAAAACAATGACATTTCATATCTTAATGGGATTTTGTATTACAAAATATTACTGACTTAGTGGCAGAAAGATCATTGACAAAGTGTAACATTAAGGAATAGAAGAGTAAGGTATGTTAGAGTTTTTCAAAACAATGACAATACAAATAACATTTTTTTCACTGTTAAATATACTTGTCCGAAAAATGAATCAATGGAATACAAATCTTAGAATCAGACCTCAGTATTCCAATGGTTATGCAAAAGTCTTTCCATCATCAGACTGATATGTTGATACAATCGTAAAGCTAAAAAAATGGAGGAAAAATAATTGAAGTGCCTGCATAATCACTAACTTTGGAATAAAACTTTTTCAAGTTTTATTGCTAAAGTTTTATTGGGGCAATCAGAATTCCACCTTTTTGAGCAAATTTCAAATTTAACAGAGAACTATTAGTTTAGAGATAATATATTTTTCATAATTTATTTATTTGTGTATTATTGTTATGCAAATGGTTTGCCGCTTCGAAACGGAGATCAACCTACCAAGTCAGATCGCTGGAGTCAAGGGTGAGCGGGGGGTCGGGGACAACGCCCCCGAATGGAAGACTTGTATCCAAAGCTAAAAAAAAAAAGGGTTCTCCGCGGTACAGAGATGTCTCCGTTCGTGTGGAGACATCGTGTCTTTTCGGTACGTGCAGACTCTCTCTGCACAATGAGGAGAATTTTTTTTTAAAAAAAATTATAAGAGTGTTAACATTTAAGATATTTCAATTCATCATATTTGTTTTTGCCTGCTCATGAACTAAATAATAGTTGGAAATGTTGTCCTATTCGATAATCTTCGATCTCACCTATGAAAAGTCATTCTCTTTTCGTTATATTGTAGTGATTCTAAATATATGGGTGAGAATAAAGAATAATGCATGAATAAATACCTAACTATTTAAAGTCCGGTATTGTTTTCATAGCAGATTGGAGAAAAAAATGATGGGGCATAAAACTGGAGGATTGGAGGTGTGAAAATTGGGAAAATGAACAACAACATTTCATTGGGTTACTGTTGCATCTACAGTAACTCAAAACTGCCTTTTTTATTATAGTATGATAATTGGACTTGTTAAAACCCCATAGCCAATTGAATGGTTGGATACGTACTCAACTATTCATTGTACTTCCTGTATATCACTTCCCCCAAAAGCCATCAATATCTCTTAGAATTTTAACTATGGGATAACATATTGAATTGCTTGTTTATTGTCGAATCTTCAAATTCAATTGTCGAGCTTAGATAAAAATTAAGGAAAAATCCATATATAAGAGATTAAGTATGATACATTTCAAAATTAAGAAACAATGTTTAAAATTTCAAAAATCAATTTTTTAAAAATTTTATTTATAAACTAATTAATTAAACATATATTTTATTAATTAAATATATAAATGTTACAATTCTATATAATTTGGTAACAAATTATAAATTAATTGGTCACAAATTATTTCTCAGTCACAATTTTATAAGTCACAAATTATTTCACGATCACATATCAAAAGTGTTATAAGTCACAATTTATTTACCGTTCACAAATTTCTGACATTAATAGATCTCATATTATTCATTGGTTATAAATCACAATTTTTACAAGTCACAACTTATTTTGTGGTCACAAAATATCTAATTAATTAATCACAAATTAATTTTCGGTTATAGAGTATCAAATTATTGGTACAAATTAATAAATTTTTAGATCACACATTATTTATTGATCACAATTTATCTATTTCATTACTCACATATTGTTTATTGGTCACATATTAACCAATTTTTTTTTATCACAAATAATCAAATCATTTGTGATCACTACCTCACCACTGCCACCGGCCATATCGTCGTCGAAACCACCACCACCACCTCCCGACGGTAAAATCATAATCTTAAACACCGCTAAAAAATCAAATTTCAATTATTATGGTCACCACCATACCATCACCAATATCGCCACCACTGCATCATTCGATCCACAGCCATAGCAATCACCACCACCATCTCACCATCACGTCTTACCAAAATTCACAACTATCACCTCCTCTATCTCCATCTCCACAACACCACCCCGACCAAAAATCCCCAAATCATCGTTTCCACCGCCACGACCTCAGCAAATCTACAGCATTATAATCTCCACATCGATTTCTTTAGTGTTATATGCCACCAAGAAGGCAATACAGTAATCTCTGCGTCATTGCAACACTGGTGAACTGTCGCTGTAACACCTCGCACGGTGCTGCAAATAGCTTAGAGCGGTGTCTCTTTTAGCGGTGCCGCCTCCACCGCAGTCTGAGTGGGAAGAGAAAGAGAAAGGCTGGGGGAGAGAGAGATCTCTTTGCATATACTCGCCTCCATTAGAGTCGTAGAGAGGTTGGGGGAGAGAGAGAATAGATAGGTATAGAGAGAAAGAAAAAAAAGCGAAATAATTAGGTTTTGGTTAGAGTAGAAAATGGTTCGTTGAATATGTAGAATAATTTTATTTTTATAATATTATTATTAATATTTAAAATTTGATTTATATCTGATTTTTGAAAACTTTTAAATCTGAATTTTGTATTGTATAGTTTAAAACTAGCAATGGGTGTAATTTCTGCAAAAAAATTAATCATTATTCAAGAACGAGCCAAAATTAAACTACTTAGATGTTATATTAAACATTATAATTCTAATTGTCTCTAACTAAAATGTTTGGATAGAAGCCTGCAAAATTAAAGAAAGTTTTGGATCTCTCATTACTAAAAATTTTCCCCACACAACATCATGCGAATTAAGATATTCCATGGTGGCTGAAAATTATCATAGAATTTCGTTAATTATGAATAAAATTTTTGGTTTATATTTTGTATACAATATTAGATTCAAATTTAACTTATTTTTCTTTCTTAATAATGTACAATAGTGTACATATCATTGTAGCGATTTGCAATGCACTAATGAATGTTCAATTAATTGGCTTCTTTTGTTTGTCGTAAAAATAAAAAAATTAGCACGCTTCAATCCTATTAATATGGTACGACATAGTTTATAGATCATGTAAATAATGGATAAATTTCATTTGTGATAACTATATTTTCACTATAATTGTACTTCAATTTTGTTTAATGAGATACTATACGTTAATTTGATCTCAATCGGGTAAAGTCGTCTAATTATGTCACTTGAACTGACAAAAGCAGATGACGTAACAGTCAATAAATGATTCTCACTATTTATTTCAATATATTACTCTTTTCCTCAGCAACTAAAGAACATTGTCACACCATCCATTAGCTTTAGTTGCATTGAACAAAGTTACCTTATTTGAATTCAAATTAAAATATAGTTACCCTATAAGAATCATATTAAATTGCGGTTACCGATTGAACAAAATTGAATTACAGTTATCAAATTGATCCAAGGTAAAAATATAATTACTGCAATTGGAATTTACCCTAATAAACAATGCATATTAAACATTCTCATGGTTCATGCTAATCCGAAAGTTAAGTGCCCTTTACACATTCATGACCTATATTTCGTCATCAAGCATAAAAAACAATCAATACTTGATAAATGGCCATAAATTTTTAACAATTTATAATTATATCCCATCATCACAAACTTCTAATCCACTTTTAAGCATTATATATGTTGGAAGATTATCCATTAATATATTTGCACAATCATATATCATGATGTAATGAGATGCCATGTTCTTGGTGTTAAGCACGTCACATGAAAATTTGAATTAGCTCTACAGCAGCTTGCCAAACAAGGAAAATGATATATGTATCGGGGTGTAAGACCCCACCGCCCCCCTCACAATGAGGTGGGGCCTGAGGTGAATTAAATAATCGGCGGGCCCCCCATTGCGAGGAGGGAGGGGGCGTGGGGTCGGGTAATTCGAGGTGTAAACCTCTCGATACTTGTAGCAAAACCCGCCAAACAAATGCAGAGAGAGAGAGAGAGAGAGGGGTATGACTGGCATGACATCTACTATTGGATTTTTCACATACATGCTAGATTAAAGTCAAACAATCAATATTAATCATATCTTTTATAGGTCTCACAACTTTTCAACCACACATTTCAAAAACATCTATCACAATCTACTAAAAACCTAATTTTAATTCTCATCAAATACCCACTAAATTAATTAATTTATTTAAACAATACATTCAACAAAACATAGAATTGAGTTTTAAAACAAGTATTTTTGTCCCTTCAGAGATATCCAAGAAAACGAGTAATATTTTTTACTTATTGAAATTGAAAAATAAAAGTTATTAGCATTTGTTTGAGCAACATTAAAATTTTCATTCTCATTTTTCTACTCATTTTCAACCACACATTTTCAATAAAATAATATTTTTATCACATTAATAACTTTTCCTTCTTTTTCAATCACACATTCTTCATCAATCTACTATTCCAAAATACATTCTTCCAAAATAATGTGGCTCAAACACTTTTGAGTATGAAGTTAGGACTCCATTTTAAAATAAGTAAGTTTTTATTTATTTAAGCCTTCCCTTGCTATAAAACCCATGATCCCCTTTCTATCTGCAAAACAAGCCTTCAATTTAATCATCTTGATGATTCTATCTGAAACCTCAGAAATGAATAATTTCTTTGCTCCTCAAAATCCCTCACTTTTTCCTGCTGATTTCGGCAACTCCCCAGCATTTCAGTTCAGCAGATTCGTACCAAACTTACAAAATTGTCATACATGTGATCCAGCGCAAGAGTTCACACCAAACTCCTCGTACATCAGCAGTAACTCTACCTCTGATGAAGCTGATGATAATCAGATCAGTATAATTGACGAGAGAAAGCAGCGGAGAATGATATCTAATAGAGAATCTGCTCGAAGATCAAGGATGAGGAAGCAAAGGCAAGTTGATGAGTTATGGTCCCAAGTTCTGCATCTTAGAACCGAGAATCAGAATCTCGTAGAGAAGTTGAATAGTGCGGCGGAGAGTCACGATAGGGTTGTTGAAGAAAATGCACGGCTCAAGGAAGACGCTTCTGATCTTCGCCAAATGATGATTGATCTTCAAATTGGAGATTCTTATACTGTCTTTAGTGATTTTCTTGAAGAACTACCTTGCAACACAGCTCATCTCATGGCTGAATCTTCTAACCTGTCCATTACTACTGCCACAAATCTTCTTCACTAAGCTTTTATAGAGAGAGAGAACATTATCCATTTACTTTTTTCTTTGTGTTACTATGTTGAATGACTGCTTAAGCTTTCGGTTCAAGTCTTATTGCTATCTACTTTTGAAAAATGTTCGTGTTGGGCATGTGATGAACACGTGAATCCGGCCTACACATGAATAGGTGACAACAGCAATAAAATTGTTCATTTTCAATAATTTAAGCTTTTAAATAAGATTACTGATCAAAATGGTTTATATTGAACACGCAAATGTCGAGAGAACAGTGAAATTTATAGAAAATTGTACACCATGGGTTAAGTGTGGACTGTTGGAAAATAATATATTAAAACAATATATTTAAGTTGAATGAACGTGTAACAACAATTCATAGGTTTCAAGTCTAGTCAATTCTATAGTTAATTTGTATTTGAATTGGTTCAATTCCATAATCAATTTGTGGTAACAAATTCGTTCATGACTATTGTAACATTATTTGATTTAAATACAAAATTAACTAAGAATTTGAAACCTCCCTCATCCTGGTACTATATAAGGAGATGTTCTGTCTAGGAGATTGAGTTTTAAGTGGGATCATTTGTGAACCTTCTATCCAACTTAGGAACTGAAATAGGCTAAACTTGTTGAGGTTGGGCTTAGATCCCTCCAGTCTTCTTTGAAAATTATTTGTAGTGTTATTCGATTATCGGAAAAAAAAAACTTGTTTGAAAATAAGCATATTTTTTTTAGTAAATTAGCATATTTTCGGTATTGAGAAAATAGCATAATTTTCAAACGATTTTTAAAAAACAACATATTTTTCAAGTAAAAAATTAGTATATTTTCGTAATTGTGAAAATAACATAATTTTAAAGTAATTTGAAAAAAAGCGCAATTTTGAAATTAACACAACTTACTTGATATTTCAGAAATGAAAACCAGAATCAACTAACATGGATGTGACACGTACCGTGGCTATTGAAAATCAGGTTATGGGTTCTGTTGTGGCTCAATGGCCAAATTCTGTTATGATTAAATTGTCAAGTCATGTTGTGGGCCAAACTAGGGCCGACTATACCGTAAATACTCCGGTCAATCATGGGGAAAAATCGAATAAATTCAATTGTTTGAATTTCAAGAGGTGGTATCAAAAAATGTTGTCTTGGCTACATTGAATCTTGCGAGGTTCTTGACTGAGATTGCTCCAAAACTCAAGGAGAGTGAAGAAAATGTACAAGCAATCAGTGCACTTGATGCTTGGAATTATTTGAATTTTCTGTGCCGAAATTATATCATGAATAGCTTGGCTGATTCACTATACAACGTGTATAGTACGCTGAAAAAGGGGTTGGTAGACCAACAATAAAACCAAGGATGCCGGGGCTAAGAATATCATTGTTGGCCGATTCTTGGATTATAAAATGGTGGACTCCAAAAATATAATCAGTCAAGTACAAGAACTCAAATTGATTCTTCATTAGATTCATGCTAAATGGATGAATTTAAGTGAAAATTTCCATGTAGCTATAATAATTGAAAAGTTGCAACCGGAGTGAAGATTTCAAAAATTACTTAAATCACAAGCGAAAGGAAATGAACATTGAAAAACTAATAGTTACGCTTCGAATCGAAGAAGATAACCAGAGTTCAGAAAAGAAGGGGTTCAATCTTGGTGTGGCTAAATCCAATATTGTGGAACATGGTTAAAGTTCTGAGACCAAACAAACATGGACCATCCGATGTTAAAGGGACTAAGCTGGATTGAAATGTGGTATTTCCAAGAAGAAGTTTCAAGAAAAACGCTTCAATTATGACAAAGTAGGCCATAAGTCTTCGAAATGCAAATTGTCAAAGAAGAACATAAGAAAAAAGCCAATGTGGTTGACTATATGGCACATGACGTGTCAGAGATGAATCTTGGAGCCGTCATTTTTGAAGTGAATATGGTGGGTTCAAACCTAAAATAGTGGTGGATGACACCGGAGCTACGAGGCATTTCTACTCTGATAAAGAGCTATTTACTGCGTTCGAAGAAATTGAGAATGTAAAGAAGTTGTTCATGAGAAATTCAACAACTTCTGAAATCAAGGGTTAACGAAAGGTGGTTCTAAAGATGACTTCTGGGAAAGAGCCGACTTTCAACAGTGTGCTATATGTATTGAAAATTCGCAAAAACCTAGTGTCCGGGTCGCTTTTGAATAAGCATAATTTTCGTATTGTATTTGAGTCAGACGAAGTCATTTTGTCTAAGAGTGGAATGCTTGTTGAAAATTGTTATGCTTCCGATGGTATGTTTAAATTGAATGTAATGGTTGTGAACCCGAAAATTAATAAAGTTAAGTCTTCTGCTTACTTGCCAGAGTTTTCCAGTTTGTAGCATGGTAAATTATGATATGTTAACTATGATACTTTACTTAAATTAGTTAACTTGCATTGCATACCCGCATTCCATAATGATTCGAAACATAAGTGCGAAACTTGTGTTGAAATGAAATTGACAAGGTCATCTTTTAAATCAATTGAACGAAATATATAACCACTTGATTTAATTTACAGCGATATATGTGATTTAAAATTTGTATAAACAAGATGTATCAACAAGTACTTTATTACTTTTGTCGACAATGTCNAAGTATTTCATTACTTTTGTTGATGATAGCACAAAATATTGTTATGTGTATTTGCTTAAAAGTAAGGATGAAGCTATAGAGAAATTTATTCTCTATAAGAATGAAGTTGAAAATCAACTTAATAAGAAAATTAAGGTGTTGAGAAGTGATCAAGGTAGTGAGCATAAAACATCATTTGCTGAATTCCGTGCACAACACAAATCATACATGAAATCACTACACCTTATACGTCGCAACAAAATGGTGTTGTTGAATGGAAAAATAGTACCTTAAAAAAATGATGAATGCAATGTTAATAAGTTTTGGGTTATCTTAGAACATGTGGAGGGAAATTGTGTTATCAGAAAATTATCTTTTAAATAAGGAGCCCTGAAAGAAAACTGAAAAGACCCCCTATGAGTTATGGAAATGAAGAAAGTTTTCTTATAAATATTTACGAGTGTGGAGGTGTTTTGTTAAAGTAGCTATTCCAACACCAAAGAAGATAAAGATATGCCCGAAAACTGTAGATTGCATTTTCATTGACTATGCACATAATAGTAGTGTTTATTGATTTCTTGCGTACGAGTCTAAAAACCCAAACATACGATGATGAAATCAAGAAATGCTTCATTCTCTGAACATGTATTTTCGTACAGACCCAGAGAGAAAGCAAGCTCTTCTAAAAGGACATACGAGACTATGATTGAAAATAGTTAGGATCAAGAATTATAAGAGGAGGTTGAGGTTGACTCAATAAATAGTAAAAGAGAAATAACAGAAAAATCTTTCGATCCCGATTTTCTAACTTATATGTTAGAAAGTGAATCTCAAAATATTTTAGAAGTTGTGAACTCTTCAAAAGGACCTCAATGGAAAGAGGCTATTAAAAGTGAAATATATTCCATTTTGCAAAATTATACATGGGATTTAGTGGACCTTTCCCCAAGAAGTAAACCACTAGGCTAAAAATTGATTTTTAAAATAAAAATGAAAGTGATGGAACTATAAAAAAGTATAAGGTTAGATTAGTAATAAAATGCTATTTACAACGAGAAGGTATTAATTAATTTGATACATATTCTCCAGTGACAAGAATCACATCCATTTGAACAATTCTTGCAATTGCAGCTTTGCGTAATCTTTAAGTACATCAAATGAATGTTAAAACTGCATTTATAAATGGAGATTTAGAGAAAGAAATTTATATGGAACAATTTGAGGTTTTTTCATAGCCAGGACAAGAAAATAAAGTCTATAAATTGGTGAGATTTTTAAATGGCTGGAAACAAGCACCCAAATAGTGACATGAAAAATTTGATAATGTCATGATAGCATGTGGATTTAAAATTAACAATTGTGACAAATGTGTTTACTTTAAAGATACCAAAATTGTTATATCATTTTATGTCTTTACGCTGACGATATGCTTATTGTTGGTAGCAACAAAATGATTAAATCTACAAAAAATATGTTGAATTCGAGATTTGACATGAAAGACATGTGTTTAGCTTATGTGATACTTAAAGTTAAAATTACAAGAATATCAGATGGACTTATTTTAAGCCAGTCACATTACGTGGAACAAGGTGATATTGACATGGATAGAACACCGATAGATACAAGTCAACATCTATCGAAAAACAAAGGGAAGAGTGTCTCTCAAGTAGAATAATTTATAATGATTGGAAGTTTCATATACTTGATGAGTTGTACAAGATCAGAGGTAGTCTACACAGTTAGTTAGTAAACTGAGTAGATACACGAGTAATCTAGGAGCTGACCACCAGAAAGAAATAGTAGGGGCACTAAAGTACTTAAGATATACTCGTATATATGGACTGCACTATACCAGACATCCAATAGTTATTGAAGGTAAAATGATGCTAATTGGATATCTGATATAAAAGACTCAAAGACCACTAGTGAATTTGTGTTCACGTTGGAAGGTGCAGCTATATCATGAAAATCCTCTAAATAAATAGTTATAGTCGGATCTACCATAGAATTTGAGTTTATATATCTAGATAAATGTAATGAAGAGGTTGAGTGGTTATATAACTTTTTAGAGGATATTCCGAGATGGTCTAAACACGTCTAACAATTGCATACATTGTGATAGTCAATCAGCGATTGGAAGGGCACATAATAACATGTATAATGGTAAGTTTAAACATATACGTTGTAGACATAATACCATACGGCAACTACCCTCAACCAGAGTTATCTTTTTGGATGTAAGATCAAATGATAATATTGCGGATCCACTAATCAAATGGTTAAATAGAGAGTTTGTTGGAAAATTATCGAAATGAATGAAACGTAAGCCCTTGAACGAATGAGTTAATACAAAGGAAACCCAACTTAATAACATGTAACAGTGATACCCGTAGGGATGAAAGATAAATAATA